AAGCACAAGATAATTAGAGTGCGGACCATTTTCATTTATATAGTGCTCTGTGAACACAACTTAGTTAGCATAAATCAGTTAAATGACGAAAAAGGTGGTGTCTATTTACTTGTGACCACGCTGTATATATATATAGTGTTTGTAAGGAATTGTGTTTAGTACGTTGCTTGTGATGTATAACGGTGGTTCAGCGCAAGTCTAAGACTTCAAGCTTACGACGCCAAAAATAAACGATTTCGATACTCGTGGCGGCGAGAGCACAGATAGTTTTTGTATAATACAGCTTTGTGCATAGTAATAACCAAACCAAGCTATAAAATGTCAAGTAATTAGTAGCCAAACTAAATTATAAATCATATCAAATTATATATATATTGAATTAGTGAAAATGTATAAATGTTACAGAGAAAAATTAAAGAGTACCACCTAATGGTCCGATAAATAATTCATATTATAAATTTAATTTCAAACTTTAATCTCTCTAATACTGTGGGGGGCAGAGCACAGATAGCCCATCGTGTAACTTTATGCTTAACTTCAAAACAAACAAACAAACAAACTCTAAGATTGTGCATAATTTTTACAAAAACAGAAAATATAATTGTGTTATGAACTTGCATCAAAAGTAAAAATCATTGGTTCATTATATACACCAACAGATGTCTTCTTGTAGCTCAGCTGTAAACTTGAGGGCTTATAAAGCTCAAATTTAGGCTTCGATGCGTGCGGTAATACAGCGCAGATAGCCCACTGTGCAGCTTGGCGCTTACACAAAACAAAGGTCAACAACAGGTAGAAAAAACACAGAAATAACTCCTTTTATGCAGCATAATTTCAATACTTCACATAAACGGGATTATACGAGACTGATTTAGGTAAGATACAATACACAATTTTTGAAACAAAAGAGATTGTTTGCTTTAAAAATATTAATTATTTGAGCCATTTGTCGATCCAAGGTTAGACAACGAAAGGCAATAAGGATTTCCTGTTTTCAGTTTCAAATTTTTCTAACGACCATACAACAGAGCTTTTAGTAAAACAATCCTTATTATTATTATCATCTTAATTTTTCTAGTTTTACTACTGTTAAAGATATCTGAAGAAATCACAAGTCACAGCTTTTCAGTTGGTTCTTTCCTAAATGTTTGTTTATTTGTACGACATTTAGTTCATTGGTACGATCATTGTTAAGTACAAAAAACTTAGGCTAAAACGTCATCAGTTATGTTTTTATTATATTTCACCACTTCATTTATTATTTTTTAAATGTAATATCCCATTTTATGGTTAATTTCAACAATAGTATTTACTTATGTTGAAATCGTACTTTTACGTTATTACTCAAACAAACGTTATTTTAACGCTCATCAGTGGCTCAGCGGTAAGTCTGAAGGCTTATAATGCTAAAAACCGGGCACAGTTAGTCCATTGCGTATCTTTGTGCTAAGCTAAAAACAAACAAACAAACATAATCATAACAAAATTTATTCGATCACGAGCTATATTTTATATCCAAACACATCCAAAAGATGGAAATAAAATGTCATTAAACCACCGATACACACGTCAAAAACAGTACTCCGAAATCGCAGTTTATGGTTAAGGAAATTTCATACACACTTTAAGGAAAAATCTAAACAGATGTCATGGAATTATCCTGAAAATAGTCTTCACAGATCCATTCCACAAATGGATATCATTAGCCCTGAAACATATTTACATTAAGAACGCAGGTAACACCATATAACAGGTTTCATATCATCCTAGAAACAGAAAAAAGTTGATAACATTATCTTGAAAAATTACAACATAATGCATGATAACAGCGCTACGGGTATAACTTTGACAGAAAATCCCATTGTTTCGTTCAGACGTGACAAGAACATTAGTGATCAATTAATACATAGTTATCACGTGACAAGAACGTTGTCGACATATTGGTACATAGTCGTCACGTGACAAGAATGTTAGCGATATACTGGTACATATTAGTCATATGACAACAACATTGGTGACACATTGGTACACAGTTGTCACGTGACAAGAACGTTAGCAATATATTGGTACATAACTGTCACATGACAAGAACATTAGTGATATATG